CATTTTTTCATAAAATTAGCCGTTTTTGAGTAATTAATTTAAGTTTAAAAAATTAAGATGCCCGCCATTTTGAAATTTTAATGAATTAAGATGAATTCTTTTTCTAACATTGGTCTTTTCTATCTTAACCTACATAGCCTACCAAGTTTTATAAAGATCGGTTGAAAAATTTCAAAAATAAAAATGTTTATGTAAAAAAAATACAAAATAGCGGATATCTGGTTAACGAAGCGATTTTGGAAAAAATGTTATTCTTGATTTTCTAAATATTTTGACTTTTGACTAATAGAACCATTTCCCGGAGTTTGGCTGTTTACTTATGGGACACCCTGTTTATTGGACCTCTCAAATCATTTTAATGAAAAAAATCTTTTTCATATCTTCTGTTTCTATACAGTAGAACCTTGATAACAAGACTCTCATGGGGATTGTAAAATAAGACTTGTTATTAAGGTTGACTTCTTATCGAGGTTTGTAATAACATGTGATTAGGGGTGAAATAATTTTGAGGGGATTTGACAATGACACTTGTTATCAAGGGCGACTTGTTATCGAGGGTCTTCTTATCAAGGTTCCACTGTAGTACTTTTTTATCCGGCCAGACTGTTGTTTTCTTTAATCTGAAATCACTCCTATAGTCCTTTGTTTATTTATAGACAAGACACCGTAGTTAAATTAAATTATTGAAATACCGTAACATTGTTGTAACATAATGTTCTACTCCCATGAAATTCCAACAAAAAGCTGAGGGAAGATTTGTGGATTGTTAAATTTCTTAGGAGTATTAATAACATTTTAATAATTTGATATAGTTACACTAATTAGAGTATCTGGCATAAAGTCTAGTTAGTAGTTAGATATCTGATGCAATGTTTAAATGAGAAAAAGCCTGCCCATTATTATTAACAAAGACGATTATTCTTAGTCGCACTATTTTCGGAAGACAGTTATTTCTACCAGATAATTTGTATGATTCTGGTTAGCAAAAAAACTTGATTTAAATTAAATAAAGGCTTGACATTGGTCTAAGTAGTAAAGGATGAAGACATCTGTTAACCCTCCAGAGGGCGCACATCGGTGGAAAAGACCGAAACGTACTATTTTGGTTATTACTGGAAGGGGGAAACGGACCAGGGCACTCTCTCCTAGATACTCCTCAGAGAAGGGTTGATCTATGAAATTGCATTGGTGGGGAGGGGTTAGTTCCAAATTACCCGACACGGTAACATAAACAGTGCAAGGTCGGTCATTTCAACCAAAGCGTGTTTGTATTAAATCTGTCATTAACACCAATGCGCTTAACTGTGTGAGTGTATCTTTAAATTTTTTGTCATGGACCCCAGTGTAGAAAGGAGAATTCAGGCCTTTTAGACCGTGTAGAAAAGGGGAAGATAGACATTTGAATGTTACTCTTGAATAAAATTTACGAGCAGGAAGAAGAGTTCTTATTGAGGAGAGTCAAGATGATGACTTTCTGATATTAGATGAAGAGAAACATATGAGAAACCCCTGATAATACACAAAGAAATAAATGCTGAAATCGAGCATTATACACAAAGTTGTCATAATTCTGGTAGCAAATTAATCATATAATAATTAATTATATTTGAGAGATGATTATAAGCTGACCGTTGCTGGTACAATACGAATTGACAAACCAGAGCCACCATTGGTTTTTAAAAGTTCTACTGACCTACCGTTGAAAGCAACATGTTATCATTTCAGCCATCGACAAGAAAATAAAATATCCCCGCCGCAGCAAACTGGTGCTACTGTAATTATGGTCACAACAAACGACACATCACGCAACAGGCTGAGGAATGGAGTTCCTCATGCGGTCTTTGTTCAAAAACTGCATCAGTTATTCTTCCCTAATGACTGTACCATGACAACTCTCTGCAACAGCTCTCGACAACAACACTCTTCATGCACTGATAGCAGCTCTGGAACTGACACACAGACACATACAGCAGATGAAGCCTCCCCAGCAATCGACCAATCAACCCAACTCCACCTGCTACAGCATTCCAGCTCACCTGTAGATGCTACTGATGATCCTAATACCAGCACAACACCTGCTGTTACAGTGGACCAGTGATATGTTGGGGGAGAAAGTCTCTGGGGGTAAAGTGATGTGCCGTGAGTGGGTTTAGAAAATAGTTCTCGTTCCTGAGTGATGGCAGTCCTTTCAAGGGGTGGTCTCCAATTGTAAATAGCAGTAAATGTAAAGAGTCAACCCAAAATGTAAACTTTTTACAAACTGAAACTGTTGATATTGGCATAAGAGAGTACCACAAATTTTAACATGGTAATAATTTGTCAACTATTGAAAAAGCTTTGCCGATTCTATATTCAAACTAACTAGCTGTTACCCACACCCCGTTTGACTTCATAAGTATTAATACAATTATTGATTGGTAAGTTAAGCTGAAATAAACAAAACAGAATACAGTAATACAAACATTAAGTACAGCTGAGGTATTTTTAACATTAGGTATATGGAAAGTTCCCTTTAGAAAGGAATTACCACCTTAAAGGGCAATTTATGATGGATAGTTTTGCGCAAGGTTTCTCGTCATGACGAACATGTTAAGTATATGGTTTATGGTGGTGTGACTTGTAGTTTTCTCAAAAGTTCATGGGTACTTTGGGCTTTATATATAGATTAAGAATGACAAGAATTATCATTTCGCAACAAATGATCTATCTTTTGGTTTCAATATCACTAATAAAACATCAGGGAAATCTCTGGACTCTGACAATATCAATAATCACAGTAATAATAATAATAATAATAAAAATAATAATAACAACAACAATAATAACAACAATAATAATGTAAACAGCATTTCACACCATTATTCACCAGCACGTAAAACTTGTTACAAGCGGGATGAATCGGCAAATTTTGGAAACAAATACTACACCAAAATATTGAACATCTAGAATCTCGAAAAATTGGCTTGTAAGTAATCATTGAGGAAATTAAACCACACATTCTTGTAATTAATGAAAAGTCACAATATGCGATATTTAATCAACTTTCCCACAAGGGTAGTAAACAGCTGTCAATCGGCAATAGATAATTTTTTAACAAATTTCACAAATGTAAAGTTATACTCGTATGTTTATGGTCTGATTACATTCTTATCAGACCGCAATGGACAAGTATTAGAGCTTGACATTGGTGGTTATAAATTAAAACCAAGGAGAAAGTCGATCTTAATATCTTAAAGAAAACTTTAAATCAGGTCTCTTAAATGCAAAAAAAAAAGGATATTACAACAACAAAATTAAGCAATCACCTGACATTTAAAAAACTTTGGTCAATAATAAACAAAGACATTCACAATAGTAAAAAAAAGATACTGAGGGTATTGTGTTCAAAAATGGTGAGAAGCTGATAAGCAGACCCGAAGAAGTAAGCAACTTCTTCAATTCATTCTTTGCACAGACAATGACCACAAAACCAACTCAACCATCTTTCTCTACTCAGGATGACAACAATGTAGATTTGTCATTGAATTCAAATTTGTATCTAAAACCTGTAACTGACGCTGAAATAGTTTTAACTATCAAATCTTTTAAAAACAGAAAATCATCTGGTTATGATGGCTTATCAGTCACCATTCTAAAGGAGGTTAAAGATGAATTAAAGTTTATCCTGGCACATCTTATAAATTCTTCACTTATCACAGGCTATTTTCCAAATCAATTAAAAATGTCTAGGATCATACCAGTTCATAAACAAGAAATAGCACCGCAGCAAACCTGCAGACTAAGCAAATTTCCATTAACCTGATTGGATTTACACTAAAATACCTCCATAAAAATAGCACATTTATTTCCTACAAGTGTACATGTTGCTCGAATTCGAGCAATTGCAATGTATTACAAGAGTTATTACAAAACGAATAACAGTCATATTTACAATGAGTTTAAAAGAGTTAACTCAAAGATTACCGGAGTGTAACTCAGACCATGTTTATCTTCCTTATTGATAAACCTAAAGCATTCCGGCCGGTTTTCTCCTTCTCAAAATGCCTCGCTGTACAGGCAGCACAGGTCATTGATAGAGGGCCAATTGAGAACGAAAAGTCGTTTTGGGGTAGTGTTAGGGCGCATTTGTAATCTAATAGTTGAGATTGTCCAGGGTCAGGTGCTGACTGTGATGAGTTAAGCCTATTACGCGCCACCGTTCTTTAGCTGTGGTCGTTATCACAACTACACCTCCTGTCTATGTTTCGTTGTCGTCGCGTCGGAGGCATAAAAAAAAAAAAAAAAAACAACAAATAAACAAATTATAGCTACACAAAAAAACGATAAATGCACAAATTTAAGATACAACCATACTAACACGATCCGTCTTGGGGGTTATGTTGACACAAACTCAAATAGTAAATCAATGTACTCAATGCGTTTCATTGAATTGAAAAATAAATAACAGCATTTAAATTATACAGCTGATCAAAATGTTAACAATTATGTTCCTCATAAGGATAACATGGGAACTTTCAAAGCCACTGGGGCAGAGCCCAAGAGACTTTTTCAAAAATGTAAGGCCAGTTTGCAAATCTACGCGACACGCTCTTTCCAATGCGATGTCAATGGGTAAAATCGGTTAAGAAATGGCGGAGGAGTTCAACCGACAAAGTTTCATGTAGCGTATTAATTATATAGATTTAAATAGAATTAGTTTATGTACTGTATATAAGATATAATATATAGTATCTAATAATATATAAGATTATGTATCTAAAAATGAAATGTGTTTGATAAATGGGTTTACTTTTTAATCAAATGATCAAAGCATAATGCTAAAAAACCACTATAAATGTGGCAATTCGGCAATTGACCGTACTACATGACGTATCATTTAAGCAATCAACCATATTACTTTTTTTATATATATTCAATTCTCTGAATTCAATTTGAAAGAGTGTGAGGTAAATAAAATTTGATTTATTGGCTTTATTATTTTAATCTAACTAAATATACTAAAGACATATAAAACGCGGCCAAAAAATATAGTTGAAATATAACTTTGTACAAAAAAATACATACAATGAGGACTATTTCTTCTTATTCCTCCTGGAGCTCCTACTAGTCCTGGAGTTGGTGCTTGCTTCGCTACAAGTGGACCCGGTAGATAGCCTACTAGACCTGACACGCATAGCAGGCTCACAGTCCGAGGCAGTGGTGGGGGAACACTGTTTACTGCTCACCGCATCACTGGTCCCCGGGGATGATTTAGAAGAACCAGGAGTGCTAGACTCAGATGTTCTTTTCACAGGGGATTCCTGCTGCGTAGATGTTCTTTTAGGAGTTCCATTGGGCGGGTTTACAGGTGAACTGTCCAACCGAGATAGCCTGACTTGTGGGGTTCTTTGATTGGATATGTTCAGACTGTTCCTCACTTCCGTTAGCGCTACGACTCCCATCATAGCTTTCTTTAGCACCTCACCATCGCTCAGTTTAGGAGCTTCGTCTCCACTGTCCTCCTCTTCTAGCCTAGAGGATTGTAGGTCGTGGGCAATCTCTGCTGCCAGCTCCTTATCCGCTGCCAGGATGTCATTTATCTGGAAACACATTTACGTTCATAGGTTAAAAAACTATAAAATAGATTAAATAGTTAACACAGAATAGTCTCTCTCGACTGAACTAATTAGTTGGACATACAATCCCAAAACGTTAAGTTACAGGTTTTCATTTTTATTATTTTCAAAATCGTCAATTTGTAAAAGCTAGAAAGTCTGGACAAGGCCAATCTGAATGATAACTTTTGACAGTTTTGAATAAACTGAATGAATACGACCAGGAAAGGCTGCTATGAATCAATACACCGAAAATTAGTATAGGCCTATCCTCTTTCCAAACCATAACTGAGCCTAAATCTTTGTTTTTCGTATGACAAACTAGGTAATGAGTCTTATCCATATTAAGAAAGAAATTCATATTATTGTTAACACCAAACCAATTACCGTACCAACTTGTTTCATTATCAGTCCAACAGCTAACTTTAATCTATTATAATCTATGTGAATAATTAATAATGTTGTGTCATCTGCAAACATTGTGGTTTGGGAACCGATACTAAGTGGTAAATCATTGACAGAAATAAAAAAGAGTATGGGACCAAGCACTGAGCCTTGGGGAACTCCAGTTTTAACTTCAATGCACCTGAAATGCACACCCTTTGCATCAACAAACTATGAACAACCACACTTGAATAGTACTTAAAAAATTGAGAGAAGGGACGCCATAGTGCTCTAATTTACACAACAAGAGACTATGATCAACACAATCAAAAGCCTTGCTCAGATCACACACAGTAACTTGACCAAGAATCCTTCTGGCAAAAGCTTTAAAAAGTCCCAAAACAAAGCAATAAATGACATGCTTATTGCTTACTTGAATTTTTACTTAAAAACCTAAATAAACAAGCAGAAAAAAATTTGAACCAAACATAGCATATACATTCATGATGTTATAACCAATGTTTGTATAAGTTTAATTTCATTAGATTAAGGTCCTAGGTCAAAAAGAATTTTCCTACATTACTGTCCTTATTTATCTACCAATAAATATTGAGGTAGGTATACTACGCCTTAATATTTGACAAATACTCACTTCAGTTTTGTAGTCTTTCATGAGTTCCCGTAGACAAGCCATCAGATCTCGCACTAACGGAGACTTGAGCTGTTTTAACTTCAGTTTTAGCTTGATGAAGATGGGGACCACATTTTCAATCATGTTTTTCTTTACAACCTTGAAACAAGAAAAAAGTTGGCATGAAAATACATACAATCACACCACAAGAAAATGTTTTAAAAGCACTGCTCTTTATTTTTCCCGGACATTTGTATCTTGATTATGAAGCATGACAGAAAAACTGGTCAGGCTTCTAAGCCACTGAATCATAAAACAGATTACATTCTGATCAAGAAATTAAGTTCTGAGGACAATTGATAAATATTTTTATATTTTTCCCATGAAAAACTGTTTGCGAATTACCCAAAAAATAAATAACTGTATCGTCACAGTTGTCATTGCAAGACCTGAATGGGGTCAATTCTAAGGGTTAGTTGCAAAATTCTTGGCTCAATTCCGATGTTTTTCTTTGGTTAACAAAATTTATCGCTCATTCTGTTTTAGAATTTTCATGCTCGTGGTTAGTTTGTGCTAAATATCGTGGGCTGGTGTTTTTTAGTAGTTTCAACTTTGAAGTATTACAAAATTTCCTCCATGTAAATGTTTTTATAGACAGAGTTGCAGTCCAAAAACAGTAGTGCACACACTCGCTATCAAATGTGAATTAATGAGCATGTGGTTATTTAAGCTAGCTTAAGAGTAAGATGAAACCAGCCAATTACTCTTTATAATTAGTTTTGGAAGTGAAAGGTAAAGTCCTATTTCCATTAAATAAACTCACTAGGATCAAACAGAAAAAAATTATTTTGTGCTTTACAGTACTTCTTACTCTCCTTAAACTTGTTAAACAAGTTCACTTTTGTGGGAAATGCATTTTAAAGAAAAATCGTCAGCTTCCAAATTAGCTGTTAATTTAATCTGGAGTAATTTAATAAGTTATAATCAAGTGCCGATTAATGCAAAAATAGTGTGTTATAATTCAATAGTAAGAGCGTTGCTGAGTTATGGAGCACAAGTTTGGGGTTTTATCAAGAGTAAAACGGTTGAATCTGCTCAAAATAACTTTGTCAAAAAATTATTTAGATTGCCTCAAAATACTCCAAATTACGTATTACACCTAGAATGTCAGTTTGATCAGGTTTATTTTTACACATTAAGTTTGCACATTGGTTATATTATTAGAGTATTGTTTTTACCAGTGAATAGACTTCCTTATATCTTGGCTAGGCAGATAATTTTGAAAAAAATATTTTGGTACAGGGAGATGTTAAAAATGGGCGAAAGACGGGGAGTAGCGTTGGACGTCGATTTTAACAGATTGCAAATTTTTCAATCTCGATTGTTTGAATTATTAGAGTTAGAGAGAACGGCTTGGCGACAGGATTGTCTGGGTTCGGCATTGACTAGTCGTTATCACCAGCAGTATCTGAACCTTGACCTCCACCTTGGAGATAGATCGTTCCTTTTTGCGGACCTAAATGTTAAACTTATGTCCTGGATTATAAAAGCTAGAACAGAGTTAATAAATCTTAACTATAAGCCCTGGATGGAAAATCAAATTTATTTATGTTCACTATGTAATCTCAACCGAGATGAAACGGTGTACCATTTTATAGCAGAATGTCCAATTTTAAAAAATGTACGTCAAATTTGGTTTAACAAGTTATATTTAAATGAATATGAGTTTTTTGAATTTTTAAATGGCAAAGATTGGCGGGCATTGGGAAATTATCTTAAAGAGGCGTGGTGTAAAAGGTGGGAATTGATAATGGAGTTTAATTATTAAATTTAATAATTGAGATATCAATACAAAAGTGGGAAAATTTATGTACTTAAAAATGTATAAAATATTGTTTGTTAAGTATTTGTCTAAGTAAAAATAGGCTTGTTTTTATTTTATTTTTTATTATTACTTATATTTTATTGCTGTTTGTAGAACAAATTCAGATTCTCAATAGGCTATATTTTAAATTTTATTTTTGATTCATTTGCTAACTGATCCTTTTTACTAAGTAGTGCTATTTGTGTATTTGTTACTAGAAATCAGTTTATTTAATGAATTATAGTTTGTGATTTATGGACTCTTTTTTAATGTGTTTTAAAATATTGTAAAATCAGTATGTCAACCACAAAACAGACGGTCTTTGACCATTGTTCTTTGTGTTTATGTAAAAACACTGTATTGATATTTGATTTCAATAAACACTTTTTCTTCTTCTTCTTCTACTCTCCTTAAACATTTCATTAAGTTTTGTTTATTTCTTACATAAACTAAATAACCTTATTTAACTCTTAATTTCCTTTTAAGTTTTAAAAATAATTGATAAATTCAGTGATATACTTGCCTGGGACACCAAAGTCTTGCGAGCGAGGTTGCTGATGACCTCAGCCATCTGGGCCTCGGGTGCTGGCTCTTCGTCGTCATCGCAGTCTTTAGAAGCCCCTCGTAGGTGAGACAGGCGTATTTCATCGCTGGATAGAACATACAACGCGTCCTGCAGCAACGTTGTGCCACTAGGACTGAGGTCTATGTCTCCATCGGCCACTCCGGCTACAAATCACATAACCATTTACAAATCTTTTGCAAGACAAATTCTGGCAGATGTGTATTGCCTGATATTGCTATTCACCTTAGTGAGGTTTAACAGACTCAATTTGGCAGGCCTATATTTTTTTGCTACAGAAAGAAATACATTTACAGTGTAATGTTTAGAGATGTGCGAGCACAGGTTTTTCAGGTCGAGTCGAGTTCGAGTCGAGTAATTGGCAAAAGATTCGAGTCTCGAGTTCGAGTCGAGTTTAAACCCAAAAGATCGAAGAATGTGTAAGTTTAAGTAACTCCTTAGGCCTAGAGCATGTAACTGTTAAAAAACAACCTTGTTACAAGCTGAAATATGATTATAAATAAATAAATTATTAATATTTGTGCAGTAACATATCAATATAATGCATAGAAAATAATTTTAAAACAACAACAATAGAGCTCATAAATGAACTTCTACTTCTGTAAAAAAAGGTAAGTGAGCATACATTTTTTTATCCAAAAATAAAATACAATAATCCCTATTGATAAGTAATATTGCATAATACTTGGCTAAAATTACTTAATACTTGCATCTATTAGTTATTAAGGTTGCAATTACAATAGCCTAATAAGTTTAATAAAGAGATTTATTCTAAAACTTGAAATGTTATTTCCTACCTTTTCACCTTTAGTTTTGTAAGTTTATTACCATTATTCTTTTAGTTGGTGTGGTTTTTGTAACAGTAGGCCTACAAAATTTCCAATGGTTTGACAGTGGGTAAAGTAAAAATAAATTTTGAAATAAAGAAAATTAAATTTTTTAATCTTGTATGTTAATTGTAAACAAACATTCTGTCAAAATACTCAAAATATGTAAAAATGAAGTACAAATAGGCCTACAAGTAGTCTACCTTACTGATAAACAAAACAATTGTAGATTGAAAATTGTACTGAATAATGTAATAGGCTCATACAATAGTAGTTATAGAAATCAAATGAAACCTAGACTTAGGCCTAACTCACCTATAATCAATTGTATTCCATGCACATTAACCACATTAATGCAAGTTGTCATGAAGGAAAACAAACTATGTAATCTAGAAGGCCAAGTGCTAGCACTTAATTATTTTGAGATATTTGTAAGCTTTTTTTAGGAGTGCTACTATTGTCCTCATGAATGATTTCATACTTATTTATGAGTTATCTAATGTTTTACAAGTTTACAGAATAATTATTTTCAACCACGGTAGCATCAATTTATAATTATCAACTTCTGTTAAGAAGGCCAATGACCCAAAACATCATGATTGTGCAATGTTGTATTTTGACATAAAAATGTAAATCATGGTATTAACTCTAATTTGAATATTTCTCCTGGTCCCTTGCAGATTGTATTTTCAATGCTAAATAATTAATTGTGGTCAATTCAAATTATATTTTTGATGATTCAAATCTCCCAAAAAAGACAAAAGTCAAACCAGACAAGGAAAAAACCTGCTATTGTAATCCCCTGCCCCTACCCAGCCATTTCGGAAGTGGTGAAAGTCTAGTCTGGTCTAAATATAGCTCCAAGGTCTTACCCTCCCCTTCCCCCCCAACCCCCTACACCATTCACTTTTGCCGACTTGCCGGCTGCCGGGCTGCCGGCTCAGTTCGAGGTCATTGCACAACCCCTCCCTCCTTCTATTGTTTTGCCTTTTGTAGTGTTTCTATTCTTTTTAAAACTTAACTGACTTTTTTAAACATAGATTTATTGCATGTAACAGTTCAGTAGTGGAATTTTCTATTGTGAAACAGTACTTTAAAACAAAATCACTACCGATCATGTCATTCAGTGTCAAGTCCAGATTATGCCATTGCCAGTCAGTCCGGCGACTGCTTTGAGTTGACCTATTCTGTTGTGACAGCTATAAAAAATAGGTTAGGACAACTACCTCTTGCTTATTTCTACACTGTAGAAATATTTGTATTACTGTAGAATCTATAGTAATACAAATTATAAAGCATTTTATGTAAACACAACTTACATTTTAACAAATATTGATTTTTTACAATTTTAAACCAAACTCTACTCGAATCTGCCGAGTTCAAAGATAAGCTCGAGTTTCAAGGCCGTACTCGACTCGAACTCGTAATCTCGAGTACTCGCACATCTCTAGTAATGTTGGTTCACTTTTGTGCTTTCAACAACAATGGAATCCAATACCAGTAAATTGACGTAGGTACCTAAAGTTATTTGCTATTTAATTAGTCAAGAACTATTACAATTTAAAATTCATCAACCCCAATCTCTCTTAGCCAACTGGTTGAATTTCTATCTCTCATGCTATATCTCACGCTTATTTCAACTACTTTATTTTAAAGAAACTTAGGATGTAACATAAAACACAAGGGCCTAGGTTTTTAGGATTTTTGTGACGACAGCAGGCTTTTTCCTGAATGTAAAAAGTCTAAACTGGCACAAGATACACAAAACTTTACACTATATAGACAAAACTTAAGAATATTTTACTGTCACTGACAGCATTTTAAACTAAGGAAGAGAGAGTTTTCTTCAGTTCCAATATGGTGACCAGGGAGTTGTTGAAAATAGTATAAATAATAAACACAGTTCCAGTTGATAAGCGGTGGCACCATGTAGTACAGCCACAACTAAGCTATCGTGTAACTATACACAATACACAACAGTTGTTACAATTACTATCGGGTCATTTAATCCTGATGTACCGATTATTTTGTTGGTATAATAAAAATATATATATTATATATGTACCTGTAACTATAGGAATACATATATAGTGATGGAAGTAGTTGTGTTTTGTTGTAGTGGTATCATTGATTGTAAAAGTTCTAGCCGGAAAAACTTGATATTGGAGTAG